TGAAAAAACTCGGATACATTTTTTGGGTATCGCAGATAGAAGTGAAAATGGCCATGAAAAAAATGCTGACTTTTTGTGCAATTTCGCTAATAAAATTTTTTTGATAATTAAAATTGAAATTTTTTTACACATAATGAATGAATAACAATATCCTAAGCTTCAAAAAAAATCAAAAATGATCATTTTTGAATAAATAGTAAAAAAGCTATAAAGGTTTAAAGTTGGTTAAATTTTTACGAAATCATAATTTCGCTAAAGTTGCATAAACTGCAAATAACTTAGGAACTAATGGGCGGATCACGCCCATTTTTTGCATAGTGTTGTGTTGCTATGTAAGTCACGTATATATGTAGTCCAATAAGTCCAAAAAGTATTTTTAACGATAATAAATGATTTAATATGAAAATTTTGTATGGGGGGTGGGTGTGGCAGTGGGCGGAAAACCTTAAAAATATGTTGGAATCTAGATAATAACGTAAGTTTTCCGGACACCAAAATTCAACTTTCTACCTATCATAGTTTTTAAGTAATCTTGGGACCACGGTAAAATCCCCATGTTTGGGCAAAAATTTCGGGTAGTTCCAGTAGGCCGATTGGGCTCAAATTAGATTTAAAAGAAAGATCAACTCAAAAACTATATTTTAGGAAAATTTCATATCAATATCTCTACTGGTTCCGAAAATATCGAATTATGACCGCCTAATTTTGTGTTTTGTCACACTGTGCGACGGTCGTAGTGCTACATCCCCTAACAATAATAATAATAATTAAACTGTTTACGTTAAATCATACTGAATATGAGAAAATTGTAAGAAAAAACTGTATAATTTTTTAACAATAAAGCTTCTAATTTGAGTTAATAACTTTGTTAGAAATTGAAATAGAATTTAATTCTAAGAAAATTGAGTTCTAGGAAAATTAAAATTGTTCCAACAAATTAAATACTTTTTTTGTAATATATATAATTATTTAAATGACAATGTACTGTGTTACCATAACATTTATATCTACATTTAAAAATGACACTAGTTATGTCTTTTATATTAAAGCTACAAATAACATACATTGTGACCGAAAGGTTTTCGGAAATTCTCATTTAAAATTCGCGCGCTGTATATTTTTCGATATTTTAAGTTTATTGTAGTTGGCACACTGTCCTTAATTACTATGTCAAAAATGAGCGCGATCTGTCGGACAGTTC